AAAGCAGAAACTAACACACCATTGTAAAGCAATTATACTCCAATGAAGATGTAAAAACAACAACAAAAGACAATGCTCAATCAGAAGAGAAACCATGCCCACACGGGGCCAAGAAGAAGATGACATCAGAAGTAGACAGCTGGCCCAAGACGCCAGACCTGACCCATATGATCGTTTATAGTGTCTTCTGAACTTCTTGAACTTTCGCCTGTGAGTCGAATGCTTCTCCATCATGGCACCATCCTATGCAGAGTTCTAAACTCATCCAGTTTCTGGGCTGACGGTCGACTAACGACATTCAGTACCTCTGGTTATCTTGGTGGATTTCTCCTATGGCTCTGACTGGCTCTGAATGGTCCTTAGGAGATCTATAGAAGAAAAAAATTATAGTTCTGTTCAGGCCACTATCGAATTACTAGGTGGGATCCCCTCACTTGGCTAATTAATCATACTTGCTCTGACCCTGGCCAGAAATATGAATTTTCTTTAAAAGTTACTCGAGTTAAATCAGAGCAGTGAGCTAAATTTCAGTCAGAAACCATAATCACTTGCTTATTAGGAGGGACCCTCCCTCAGTTACGGGGTAGATTTACCGGGTTACAGTCACTTTAGTTTAAGGGTCCCCTTGTGCTGGGGACAATTAGATCACACTAAGGATCATTAGCCTAATGACACCAGGAAACTGGGCTGTCTTATGAGCAGTGCAATGTGTCATTACCCCTAGAGACAGTGACTGGCTCAGAGTGAACTGTCAGCCGACTGGGAGTATACTCGGCCACACCTAATGGAAATTCTTGGCCTAACTTCTTACTTACGATGTTATTAGTGCTACTAGCTATAGCACTTGTTTTCTGCCTGTTCTACAAGATTGTTGTTCCTTGTATTGACCAATGTGTAAGTGAGCTTCCAACGAAAATAATAACTAAGCAACTTGAGATAGTCGACCAAATATATAGTTCTATATGAGGTTACAATGATCGTAATAATGTAACTCTAGATCTGGGAAGAAGTAACATGGGAGAGTCACTTTCTGGACTGTAACAGACTAGAGTGACGGGGGGTCCAGAGACTTCATGGCCACCTCTGACAGGGCCTGGTCCAGCAATAGCACATGGAGCCCTCTGGGCACCATGGGGCAGATGGTCATGACATGCCTCCCAAACCTTGGTTAAATTTATGACCAAGAGGGGCAAATTGTAAGACAAATACTGTTGCCTACCATCCAGTTCTACAAGGATCAGGCCATTAGCCACTGGAGTCTCTGACTGACAGCTCACCCTGAGGGCAATTCAGGACGAAGAACAGGACGAAAAGGCTCTCTGTGCTTTGGAAAACCAGGCCCCTTAGGCAGGGTAATCGCAAGAGGAAATTTTTTTTTTTTTTTTTGCAGTATGCAGGCCTCTCACTGTTGGGGCCTCTCCCGTTGCGGAGCACAGGCTCCAGACGCGCAGGCTCAGCGGCCATGGCTGACGGGCCCAGCTGCTCCGCGGCATGTGGGATCTTCCCGGACCGGGGCACGAACCCGTGTCCCCTGCATCGGCAGGTGGACTCTCAACCACTGCGCCACCAAGGAAGCCCCAAGTTTTTTCTTTTTAAGACTTTTTTTTGATGTGGACCATTTTTAAAGTCTTTATTGAATTTGTTATAATATTGCTTCTGTTTTATGTTTTGGTTTTTGGCCCCGAGGCATGTGGGATCTCAGCTCCCCGACCAGGGATCAAACCCACACCCCCTGCATTGGAAGATGAAGTCTTAACCACTGGACTGCCAGGGAAGTCCCAAGAAGAAATTTTAATGAACCCAATTTCTTGCATTTTCTCATATAGAAAAGCACTAAAACCATTAACTGAGATGTCTGATCCTCGTGACTATCAGGAACCTTTTACCGAGCTGTGTGCTTCACTGCACGCATTTCCTAGCTAAAACTATACGTGCACTGGCTTCTCCCCTACCTCTTCAGAGCAGTTCTGTTACCGAGTGCAGAGTCCAAGTTCACGCTGCTCCCGCACGACAGGCCGATGAGTCAAGAGACAAGGTGATGGGGAAGAAGTAGTGACTTTAATCAGAGGCCAGCAAACCAAGAAGATGGTTCCTAAATAACCATCTTAATTCGGGGTAGAATTCGGGCTTCTTTTGTGCGAAGGGGAAAGGGGAAGCAGGAGGATCTGAGATTAGAGGGTGAAGGCAGATTGCAGACTTCTCGGAGCCACCTGGCCTTCAAGGAAGCGTAGCATTGCTTCGTTCTTCTGCTTGCTCACACAGGCTGGATCACAAGGCGCCTGCAAATCCTCAAGTCCTTAGCAGTTATTTTTACTTTACAGTCTTATCTCTGCTTATTTGCAAGGTTTCCAGGCTGAAAGCAAACTTATCTACAACAAGTAATGGCCATAAGTAACCCAGGACCGTGGGATGGGAACGCTCTTCAGGGAACTTAATGGGCTGGCTATTCGGGAACAAACATTTCTCTACTGTTTAACTCCTGGCGTGTGGGGACGAAAGTGATGGACTACATGGGCCGAAGAATGGGGGGTGGGGGAGGTGGTGCCAGGTCTGTTCTTCCTGTTACAGTTTCTCAGAGGCACCAAGAGGCTGCTTCCCAGGCTATAGTCCTCAGTAACACCGTTAATAAAACTTACCTCACAGTCCTTGCATTGTGTGTTTGTCTTTCAGTTGACAGTTTAGTCCAGCAGCAGTGCATTCAAGGCTGGACGTGCAACATTCCAGGTCAAACAAGCAGGTTGTCCTGACCCTGTGTCATCCACCACTTCTTCCCAAGGCCTGTCTCTCTGCTCACACCTGGGGCTGCAGGGGGATCCCTCTGGGACCAGATGATGGGTAAGGAAGAATTCCCAGCCCGGTTCTCCATTGGTCAGCTTAGTGTGAGGGAGACGGCTGGCCACAGGATGGGTCCTGCACTCCAGCCCACTCAGGAGTGGCCTGAACACCGGGGTGAGGGGCAGAGCTGCAAGCGAGTTACTTTCATTGGACCCTTGTCCCCAGAGGGGCAGCGTGTACCCCTCAGGAACTCGGAGCACCGGCCCTGCACAGAAGTCCACGTCATATGTCATCCCCAGGGATGGGAACACAGGCTCAGGTCTGCCAGTCACGTCCCACACCTTACCACCCCCCTGCACCAAGCAGAGGGTGGGCACCCCTCCTGGCTCCAGTTAGCCCACAGGTCAAAGGCCGTTAGGAGGTGCTGTGTGGCTGTGGGTAGAGTACATGGGCCCAGGGCCCCAGGGCAGGACCAGGCAGCTCTGCCTCTTCACTTCCTGGACCACTGGTGCCTTCACGTTCTCCAGCCCTGCTGCTCTGGGCTTTGTGGGTTCAGAAGTTCTGTCTCCCAAAGCTTCCTTCAGGCGACACAAAATGGTACCGTTGACCTACGATCTCTGGATGCCCCTTTGTTTCCCACACCTGGGTCACAGGCAGGGCCACTTGACTCTGGTCCGCAGGAGGAGGGAGGGATGTGCCACACTGGGCCTCCTCTTGCCCAGTGTTATGGTAAATGGCCAAGCGCAGCACTCTTGCCCCAAGACGGTCACGGTGACCAAGGCCTAGGTCTCTCGGAGAAGGGGCCACATCACACTGTGACCCACTGGGCCTAGCAGAGCTGGTAGCTGATGGTGCGCAGAATGTCGCCCTGCTTTGGACACCTCTCAAATGTCCTCCAAGCTCCAGAGCTCCTGCGGGCTCAGCTCAGGCCTTTGCTGGGCCTTACTGCAGCTCAGCTTCTACTGCCACCCCATCCTGTTCCTTTTCCTCCCTTCTTCAGGATTGGACACAAAGAGCCTCCCTGTTCAATGTCCTTCTCAGAGTCCAGGAGCGTGGCCTGGAGTAACCCTGCAGGGCCTGTGAGCCACTGCAGTGACTCTGGATCTGGAGTGAGTGGGGGCCCTTGGGGGGCGCAGGGGGCGCAACTTGTTTTCTGTTGTAACAGGATCACTCTGGCTGGGGTAGTGAGAGCGCCGAGGAGGGGGCCCCGCTAACCCAGGAGAAGGTGAGAGGGGCTTGGTCTCAGGGGTCACAGTGGGGGTGAGATTCTGCACATTCTGGAAGGTGGGGCCAAATGGATCCGGTGTGAGTGGCAGAAGGTGCAGGCGTAAGCCAAGGCTTTTGGCCTGAGCAGTTGGACGGGTGGAGCGGCCACCACCTGTGCCCGCAGAGACCGGGCAGAGGGTGCAGTGGACTGAATACTTGTGTCCCCCTCCCCCACTGAAATTCTAAAGTGACGGTATTAGGAGGTGGTTAGGTCATGAGGGTGGACCCCTCATGGTAGGGTCAGTGCTCTTATAAAAGGGACCCCACAGAGCTTCGCAGCTCCTTCCACCAGTGAGGAGCCCTGAGAAGTCGGCCCTCTGCAACCAGGAAGCGGGTCTCACCAGCACCCATCCACGCTGGCACCCTGATCTCAGACCTTCAGGCTCCAGAAATGTGAGACATAAATTTCTATTATTTGTGAGCCACTAGTCTAGGTACTTTGCTATGGGAGTCCCAGCTCAGACAGAAGGTTTGGGAGAACCTGAGGTTTCCTGTTGAGGAGTTAGGCTGGAGACCCTGGGAGCCCTCCTCCGCGGAGCACGGCAATCTGGCCCTTTGACATAAATGTGATTGATGGGCACATAGATGGCATTTTTAGCCAACAGGCTGCTGGACCCTCTGGAGGGAGATGAGACCGGGGTGCAGACACAAGCTCAGCCCCGCCCTCCCAGCCCCCTAGCTCTGGATTCAGGAAGAGAAGCAGCCAGCCAAGGAGCCTGAGAAGCAGCTGACAGCTTGTGAGGGAGGAGGGCAGTCCCCAAAGCAGGCCCTGGAGAGCTCACTGTAGCACCCGCACAGTAACAGTCCAGGTCACAGCTGGTCCCCCAACAGGCCACCCCCCACCCCCACCCCCCCCTCTCTCTCTCCCCTGCTGCTCTCTCCTGAGCACTGTTCTTTTCCACCCGGCAGGGTGGCCACTGATGACCAGGTGAGGCGGTCAGCTCTGGGGACAGAGGGGCTGTAGTTTCAGCAGGCCTGGTCCCGAGGAGCCCCGCCTAGTCCTGCCCTCAAGCCGAGGCAGCGGCCCACCCACCAGGGCCCTGAGCTGGTGCGTCCGCCTCCTTTCGTCCGCGGGGGCGGGGGCTCTGGGGGGCAGACCGCAGCCACCGCATGGCCCCACCAGCAGCCTTGGAGGGGGCTCCCTAGGCTGGGCTACCCGGACAGGAGGGGCTCTGGTGGCCCCGCACCGGCCCCCAGCCTCTACGGGGTCAGTGTTTCTCCGCGGGGAGCGGGGCTTTCTGGGGGGGAGGGGACTCTGCGGGGGTTGGGGGGTGGGGGGTGGGCTCGCGCAGGCGGGGCGGCGGGGCGGGCGGGGCGACCGCTCAGCCCCGGGCTGTCATTTGTCGTTAAATTTAGCGGCGGGCCGGTCAGCCGGGCGGCGGAGGGGACTATAAGCGGCCGGGTCGCCCACCCTCGAAGCAGGAGTCCGAGCGAGGAGACGGCGCTGGAACCAATGGACACGTCGTACCCCCGCGAGGACCCCCGGGCCCCGACGCCCAACAAGGCCGACGGCACCGCCCACACGGCCCTCACGCTGGGGGCGCCGCTACCCCCACCTCGAGACCACTTGATCTGGTCGGTGTTCAGCACCCTCTACCTGAACCTGTGCTGCCTCGGCTTCCTGGCGCTGGCTTACTCCATCAAGGTGGGCCTTGGGGCACTTTGGGGGGGCCCAAGAGCGTTTCATGGGGGCTGCTTATCGAGTTGGGGTGCAGGAGTATCCACAGGGCCATCCGTCAGCCTGACGGTGGTGGGAGCCCCTCCCTCATGAGGGCTTCTCCACTGAGGCTGGGGTGCTGTTCATAAAAACGAAAGGGGGGGTCTAGTTTGTCCCGAAGAGCCCAGGGTCGATGGGGCCTTACCCAAGGGGGTCTCTTCCATCAAACGCTCTCAGCACCTCTGAGGACTCCCTAACCTCGCAGGTCCCTGGAGGCTGATGCTGGCCTGGGAGGGCCACTGGGTCTATAGCTGGAGTGGGAGGATGCAGGGTCTCCTTTTGGCCCCACTTTAGGCTGAGCCCCTGATGACCCAAGGCCCCCTGGGCGGGCCAAGCCCATGTGCCCAGCTGGGGACAGTGAAGGGAGTGGGTGGAGCCCGGGCAACATCCCCTCAGACGACATCCCTCCATCTAGATTTTGGGTCCAGCTCGGGTCCTCCAAGGTGTGGACCCAGCAGCTGCCTGGGACCGGGTGGCAGGCCCCACCCAGGCCCCAGGCAGGTGTAGAGAGCTGGCCCTGCTGCTGGCCCGCAGGCCCGAGACCAGAAGGTGACTGGAGATCTGGAAGCAGCCCGGCGGCTCGGCTCCAAAGCCAAGTGCTACAACATCCTGGCCACGGTGTGGGCTCTGGTGCCGCCTCTGCTGCTGCTGGTGCTGGCGGTGACCGGCGCCCTGCACCTGTCCCGGCTGGCCCAGGGCTCCGCCGCCTTCTTCAGCACCAAGTTCGACGACTCAGACTACGACTGACAGGCTGGGCCCTGTCCCCGCCCTGACCCAGGGACCCCAACCCCAGGGCTCCACCCTAATCGCCTGGAACCCTGACTTGCCTACGGGCCTGAGGCTCACCCTCCAGCCCCAGCCTGGGCACCTAACACTGACCCTGAAGATCCTCCACAGGGATCTCAGGGCCTTACCCTCACCTCGATCGATGCCCCCAGTCCCCTAACCACCCCCCCCCCACCCCCCACCCGCCGCCCCCAGGCCAGCTCCTCCCTCCCCAGCCACCAGGCTCAGCCTCAGTTTCACAATTAAAAGCGCCTGGCTCCAGAAAGTGCCTTCCAGGACTGTTCCTGGCTGGGGTGGGGGAGGGTATCTTCCTGAGGGGAGCTACCCTAGGGACCACTGCAGCCAAATCCCCCTGGACTGCCCCCAGCGTCCATGGTGGACGCCCTGCCCTGTCGGCTTGGTGCCCCGACTGTCCCCTTTGCTCAGGCACTGGGCGGCCTGCGGCTTCTGGGTGGAGGTGCCTGAGTATTTTAGAATGAAGTTTGAGAAGTCGGGCTTTGATCTCTGCCGCTCTGTGGTTTAGCGGCCTTTCAGAACGTGTGTGCTGTGCCTCCGCGTCCACGTACCTGCCCATCCCTGAGTCAGCGTGTGTGTACACGTGCTAAGGGGAGTCCCTGACCAGTGAGACTTGTCCTTGTCCTGCACGTTCCTGTCCGTGGCTGGGCCTGTGTTGACCTCCTTCTTTGGGTCACTGTTCTTGTGACCCTGCGTCCCTTTAATTCTGATCTGTCCCGGCAGTGGGTTCCCTCCTTCCTGGATCAGTGGGGCTGGACACAGACACACAGGCACACAGACATGGTCACGCCGTCACCCGTGCACACGTCCACCACGCACAGGTGCACAGGAGCACCTTCTGCACACGCACGATTGTACAGAAAGGGAGGTGTGGGGGGCGAGGGCGTTTTCCCAGTGCCTCTGTGCGGGTGCACGTTCTCGCATCAGTTACCTCCCTTATGTAGCCCCCCGGCAGCCCCAGCAGAGCCTGGCAGAGTGGGGGCTGCCAAAGACACACGCACACCCTGTGTGGCTGGGGGTGAGGCCCCTGGGCCTTGCTGTGGCCGGGCTAATGACAGGGCAGGCAAATTGCAGGGGCCTTAACCACAGGGTGGCTCAGGGCTCTGAATACCCCACCCATGGTCCCTTCCCTCCCTTTGCTTGCCCACCCTGCCTGGGCTGGGGGCGTGGGTCTCTGTCTAGCTCCTGTACTTGGAGCCCCCAGAGTAGTCCCCCTCTTGTGACAGCCAACAGTTGGTCCAGCTGTCTCCAAAGCGTGCCAGCAGAGATGAGTCCCGGCCGCAGGCCGGCGGTACCCCAGCCCCCTGCTGAGTGTGCGCTGCTCCGAACCAGCCCCTGAGGCAGAGGTTGTGCTGGCCGGGGCCTGGGGTGGAGATGGAGCAGTGCCCCTTCCTGGGCACTGGCCCTACATTGGACTAAGGACAAGGCCAGCGCTCGGACTAGGATGGAGACGGCGTTCCAACACTGAGCTCCAGGTTTGGCCCAGGAAGGGACCAACCCATGCTGGACACAGAGGCTGGGAGCAGGGGTCAGCCTGTGTGTAGCCGGGTACATGTCTCCAAGCAGGGGATGGTCTTCTGGTCTCCACATTTGGTGAGGGGAGCAGACATTGTCCAGCCCTTGCCCAGTTGCTGAGGACAGAGAATACGCGGTCAAGCCAGGCACAGAAGGTCACCAGCAACCCTTCCAGCCTGTGTCCTGGGCAGGTTGAAGGACCCTGGTCAGGTTCAGGCAATTGGCTGTCATGGGCCGGACCAGCCAGGCCAGCACACACATGCTGCCACCCTGTCACGGCCCCTTGGAGGGTTGCCCCTCCACAGGCACAGATGGGTGTGCGTGCACGTGCGCACACACACGGCACACACACGCGGCACGTATCAAGCTACGTCAGTCCTGTGGGTGAAGGGCCACCTACCACCCCCACCTGATGCCTGTGCCCACATCTGGCTCCAGGGCTGCAAAGGGGGGACTGTCTGCTTCATGGGGACAGTCCCTGGCCACCATGCTGTGCTTCAGCAGACCTGCCTGGGCCTTTGCGGCACTGCCACCGGTTGAGCGAGAGCCTGTGGGCCCCTGGGGGAGCCCCACCAAGTCGTGGGATCCATTCTGAGGCCACAGGCCCTCAGGGAGCTGGTCTGCAGCTCGGCCACACTCCCTGCAGCCACCCCCTTCCCTCTCTCCCTCATGGGGCTTCAGTCCATCACAGTTTGTCTGCCTGGTGTCTGCTTCTTGGAGAACTCGGGCTAACTCTCCACTGAGAACAGAGAGCACGGTTTGCAGATTAAGGAGGGGTGCAGACGTTGACGGGACTCGCTTACTTGCTCTACGCGAGCAAGTGACTGTGCTTCCCAGCCGCGTGGAAGGGAAACTTGATCCTTTAGGAAATCCTCACGTTCAGCAGGGAGCTTGTCAGCTCCTCACAGCAGACAAAGCTTGCCCATTCCTCAGGCAGATCTGCTGCAGCAGACTCGGCCCTCGCCAGGATTTCCATGGCAGACACCATCTCGCCTCACCCTGGGGAAACCCAAGTCTGCTGTGCCAACTGAGGGGCTGAAGCCCAGGAGGAGACAGTGGGCAGAGCCTCGGCTGAGGGCAGCCTGCCCAGGACAGGTGGGCCCAGGGCCGTGGCCTGGAACTCACGCACACCTGGCCCCAGTCCTTCTGGCTGGTCAGAGGAAATGCAGGGTCTTGCTCCACACCCCACTCCCCTGCCTTCCTGGCTGAGGAAAGGCATATGACAGAGACCATCCGACTTGACTGAAGTGGCCCAGAGGCAAGAGGACGCAAGGACTGAGGATGCCGAGCGCTCACAACAGCCCAGGAGCACCTGGACCCAGCCATACCTGATGCTCCCTCGTGTGACACAGAAGGGTCCTTTGTGAAGCTGCGATGCGGTGTCCCAAGTAATCCCACAGGAGACTGAGTCTCCCCCACGCCCCTCATCCTGCCGTGCTCCCCATCAAGGCCGGCATCTGCCTCTGTCTTCGCAGAACCGCTGGCCCTTCTCCCACCTCACCCTGTGGGGTCCTAGGGAAGGGGCACTGAGGGAGGGCGGGAACAGACATGCTGTGTGAGGCTGCAAGAAAGCTGACCATCTATGGGGGGTTAGGCTGGGGAGGGGCTCAGGCTAGAGGCAGAGTCTTGAACTTGGGCCAAAGAATCCAGACTTTCCTTGGAACCCGTGAGCCTGGCTGCCGTGTGGAGGAGGGTGGGAGGGGGCGGCAGGCCGGGAGGGCGTTGAGGAGGGGTGGGCGCAGCCAGCAGGGGCACCCGCAGAGGGAGTGGCCGGGGGGGAGGACCTGAGAGACATCCCTGAAGCCAATAGCCCTGGTCGTTTTGGGGGAGGGGCAGGACTGGGCGGGGGACAGGGGGGACTCGGTGGGGCTGGAGGGCCCAAGGGTGCCCCAGAGGGGGTCCTGGGGGCTCTGCACAGATGTTTAATGCCTTCAAAAAATCTTTCCAGGGAACTCTTGGAGCAGAACTTGCTGCCCCTGCTTCCTACAGGTGTGACCTCTGTATCCGGCCAGCTGAGCAGGGAAAGGAGACCTTGTGTCCTGCAGGGAGAGGAGGCATTGTGGGGTGAGGGCACACACTGGGGGCCACCTTGGGGGTCACGTGCCCTGGACCCCTGGGTGGGTCTGGGAGTGGCGGCCTACCTGGGGACAGGGGGAGCCGATTCTGTGACGGCCACAGCTCAGCCTCCAGCGGCGGGGCCCAGGGCCCTGCTCGGGCAGTGACCTCAACTGTCACAGAGCCCTCGGAGAAGGAAAAGTCAAGCTTGCTCCCCTGGTAGGAGATGCCAGAGACGCACACTCCGGAGAGCCCCGCTGGACACATGGGGTCGAAGGTCAAACCGGCCTCAGTGATCCTGCGGCGAGGGGAAGGTCTGTGAGGAGGGGGGTGGCGGCAGGTGGTTGCCCTCTGCCTGCCACTGCACTCACCTGAATCCCGTGACCCCAAAGAGCACCGCCTGCAGGAAGCCCCCCATGCCTGTCAGGAAGTTCACGGCACCCGACCTGTCTGCATTCTCCGTCCACACCTGCAGGGGGCAAAGCAGTCAGTGCAGGAGGTGGGCGTGGTCGGCATGTAGGTTGAGGCTCTGGCCAGGCTGACCTTGAAGGGCTCCGTGACGTTGGCGAAGCTCCTCTGCAGGAGGTCCCACGCCCGCCCGGGGTCCTTCAGCTCCATCCAGCCCACTGCAAACATGCTCTGGGGACAGAGATAAGAAGAGGTCACGCTGGGGTGAGGCCCACTGCGGGGGGGGGGAAGGAAGACTGAGGCCAGTGGGGCAGGGCCAGGGCTGCCCTGGGGACCACCACCTCACACCCTGCAGTTTCCTTACCCAGGTCATGGCAGGGCCCTGGGGGGACGTCACAGCCTCATACATCTCCAGGTTTTGCCTGCGAACTTGAGGACTCAGGGGGAAGGGGACGGGGTACCCCAGGAGCACAACATCTGCCTGCTTCACCTCCTCTCCTGGGGGGGAGGGGGGAGATGCTGCTGATGGGGTGAGGTGGGGAGGGCGGGGGCTGCTCTGTTGGAAAGGGGGCATCCAGGGCGGACACTAGGTCCTGTGGGAGGGGAGAAGGGTCCTGTGGGAGGGGAGAAGGGCCCTGAAGGAGCTCCAAGTCCACTCACCAGGCTGGTACCCATCAAACTCAGGGTGGAAGTTCAGTTTCGGGTCAAAGGGCACCTTGATCTTATCAGCCACCACCAGCCACTGGTTAGGGACGGGCTGACCCAGGTCCTGGGCCAGGGCAGCAGCAAAGCGCAGGCTAGGAGTAGAGATGGGGAGAGGTGGGCTGCAGCCCTGCACTCCTGGTTGGCCCCCTGCATGGTGGAGGTGGGGCGGGTTCTTGGGTCTGACCTGTTCTGGACCAGAACGTTGGTGTACACGGAGTTGTCGACCCCTGAATGGTATTCGTCAGGGGGCATGACTCCTGGGCACATAAGTACAAGGTGGTATTCAGTGCAGGGTCTTAGGGACCTGCCCCCGATGCCAGTCGCCAGTGTGGGCCTGTCCGCATCAGGTGCTGGTGACCACGTGCTGAACCGAGAAGCACCCACCTGCTCCCCCACTGTGACCATCCACTCCCCCTGCCCCTGCCCCGTCATCCACACGCCTCCCACCATGGCCACGCTCTCACCCTTCAGGTGGAACTTCTCCTCCCCGGGGCTCCACTCTACGCGGCTGCACCAAAACTCAGCCACGGCACTGACCACATCCCAGCCCCCAGCCTCTCGGAACAG